ATTGACAGATAATTTCCAAAATGTTTTGAATACGACAAAAAACCCTCGAAATTTATATAGCGTGCAAATTAGACATGTATTTACTAATATTCGCATCGGGTTTGCTTTGATTTTACCGCGATCAATAGGTTGATATTGATATTTTTTCTATTGGAAAAAAAAATATTCACCACTGGGTCCTCCTGGAGTTAGCCCTAGCGGACCCGAAAAATCCGGGAAAGCAAACCTGGTGTTTGCTCGGGTTCGCTTTTTGCTGGGTCGCGTGTTTTTTGATGCTGTATTTTAAAAAAAACATTTGAAAATGGTAGATTTATCATCCTTTTACCTGTAAAAATTTGCATTAAATTATTACAGTCTTCATAAACATCTATTGCAATACTTACTATTTCTTCAAACATTGGAACCATAAAATCACAAAATGTAATGCATATTTCTTAGAAGTAATCATAATTATATTAATCTGAATAAATTCTTTTGCAGTGCAAATAAATGCTTTGATTTACAGATCTCGTTGAAGTGCACGGAATTATTGTACTGATAACCGCTGAAACCATTTGTGGAGAAGGAAGTTTTAACCACTTTGGAAGTTGTGGTAAAGTTCATTAATTTATTCACTAAATCCAAAAGTAAAATTAGAAAATACAGTATAAAAAAGATTACAAGGTGCATTTGATTAATAATGCTTGATGTTATTAAAAAAAAATAACAAAACGTAATTTTACATATCCCTATTCTCTCAGAATGTTCTTCGTCAACTATAAACTTCTCAAGTCTCGTAGCTCGGTAACAGTCAGTCTCCGACTTATTTTTATTAGCAGTAGCGTTGTCACGAACAAGAAAATTCTACATTTTTATTTAACGTTACATAAAATAGTTTATTATACCTCATATAAATAAACACAAGCAAAGAGGAATCTGATTGGCTGAGGCAATCACGTGACCGTCGTGTTCGCCCTGCAACAAAACTTCGTGTTTCCCGCATTCGGTTCATCTCGGCTTACTACGCTATCCTACATCTAGATGTAATCAGCCGAGGTGTACAGAACGTGTTTCAAGTCGTGTTCCCCGATTGTGACGTCACAATGCGGCGAATGCGATGATTAATACTGAATTCGATTGTTTAAATCTTTGATTAATTATGTCGATATGAAATCTTAAAATATAATAGTTAGAAAAGTGTTTCCATGAGTGGGGAATGAATGTTACTACACTGCAGTGTGTAAATCAGAATGGCTTGTCACGAAGGTTTTTTTTAATGAAACGCTAGTGGTGTGACTTACACCTATTGGTATATTGGCATATTGTTCTCATCAAATGTTTACTTTATTTATTGGATTCTCTTTATATTTTCTGCATTGTGCTTGATTCGGTGTAATAAAATAATTATTGCATGAATGTTCGGGAGACATGAAGATTTCTTCATTTCTTCGCCCATGAAAAATCATATCATATGATTTTTCATGGGCGGAGAAATCTTCATGTCTCCCTCACTATCATGCAATAATTTTATATCATTATCCTTCAGAATTATACAGTCAATCTGATTGGTTTAGACAACTCGTGATGTCTCCCTCACGCGCAGAGTGACAACCGTTGTCTCCCTTCAGATGACAATGAAAAAGCTAAAGCGAGCATGCACAGTTACAACTGTGTTGTCGCCCTTTGAATGAAATTATAGTGGTTTAAGCGAGATAACTCTTATTTGATTGCGCCCATGACAAAAGGGCCTTATGTAGCATCCACAAGTCATTTTACGTTATTTATTACGCTATGTGACAGTATACAAAACTACCAGTTTTAAAAAGCGTATTTAACACATTTTCGCGTCACTAACTTCAAAAAATCTAATTGAACTGTAAAGATAAATTGATAAACAATCTAAAAATTATGATTTTATAATTTTTTATTGCTGTATTTTGTTTTAATTCCTATCAAATGTTCAAGCATGTTCTGAAATAAAATGTCACGATTTTAGCGCGTCGTAAAAACCGCATTCTTTTATTCCGCTGTTTATAGGACAATAGAGGATATATTCAGATTTCTTTGTACAATGGTAGATACAGTTGATTATTCTGAATATAATGATACCAAACACGACTAGCCAGATTCGTATATTGCTATCATTATGGATAGTCAAATGTAAGCATTTTTTCGGAGAGTTTTTTCACTCGCTTGACGAACCGGTTGCATATGTGTTACAATAATAGATCGAAAGAGAATCTTCTCCTCTTTAAGAAACTGTGTAGATTTATTTTCCTTACATCGGCGCTAAGAAGCGATCTTTCAAATAACAACACAACATATAGCCAGAGTGAATGATATTTGACGTCATTTTCACGCCCTCCACGATTCCTGGAAATTGTTTTATAATGGAGTTTGTTTACTGTAACTATAGAAATATTCAGAGGGGGATAACTCTCGATGTCTTTTTATGGGGTACCCGAAGGGGTAATTTTAAATATAATAATTTTTATATAAGAAAATACTAATTAAACATGTCAAAAATATAATAAAACAAGGAACGATGATTAGGACTGAAAAAGAAAACTTCTATAAAGTAAAATTGACGTTATAATTTTGAAGCAGTAAAAAATTATAATCATGTGTAAGAAATAAAATAAAAATGTAAGAAAATAAGTACATGTACCTAGTGCAAAGAAAAAATACAATAGTTCTGATTTTTTTATTAAAAGAAATGTAAATAAATTCAATTGAGTTCATGAATAAATAAGCTTATTGTATGATATGCTAAATTCCAGAAGAACGTGTTTACAAAATTCCTGTCACAGAAAACGTTGTACTTTTGGTACGTGGGATATCTTTTTTTAGAACGTTAATTCAGCTTGTCTCATATGATTTTTTTTCCATTGATATACAGTTTATATTCATGCATTGGCATTTTATTGAAACTTAATATAAATGTTTTTATTAATTTTATATATAATACAAATGTAAAAATAGTATTTGCCAGGTGCTCATTTTTTTCAAGAGACTATAAGGCCTACAAATATTCTAGATTCGTTTTCCATGGATGTAGATCGTATGCATTTAATCTAATATATTATGTAGATTTTATTATTTTAGTTAGATTATATTTGACTGGTAAATACTATTTCTGAAATTTCTAAGTATTCTTGATTACAACACTAACAATAAATTACATGCATGTTAGGGTATAAACGTCGGAAGCAAATTGAAAGTGGGGTGGCTGATTGATAGTGGGGGGGGGGGGGGGCTAAACCAACAAAAAAGGTAAACCACAATTTTCAATGCCTAAAAAAATCTATCTTTAAAAAAGGGGGGTTTAAGAACCCTTTACCCCCCTAACCACCCCACCCCCCCCGTTTCGACGCCTATGTAGAATATGAACATATGGATAGGTAGACGGATGAATAGTAAAAATCAAATAGGCAAAATAATATTACTGATGCATCAAAGAGGTCTAAAATTTAAACAAGAAATTAAAAATTGTGGTCCCCCAGCTGCATTTCATTTCTGGTATTTTTCACTGAGAGCATCTCGGGCGCATCGCACCTCGGAGGTTTGAATGGAGCCTAGCGGAGTCAGCCGAGGATTGCCGATTGGAAATTTTCGATATTTCTTTTCATGGCTGACATGTTTTAGTTTTCATTTCTGACATTTTAAAATTTTCATTTCTGACTCTTTTCAGATTGTACTTTTTGGTTATTAAAACAGGATTGAAGAATTCACTTATTAAAAATTTCATTTACGTGATGAAAAAAATTTAAAGTGTATATCAAATGTCTTAGACATTGACATCTAATTTAGTGAACAAACATGGGGATGAAGTGCTGCATGTACCGATGTACTATACATGTACGTGTATAGACAAATCTTTAATTTGTTTTACCGGCTGTTTGTCTCTATGTGGGTAATATTACATAATTTATGGCATATTGTTACAAATATGAACGCCCTATAATATGTCATTCAAAAGTTATAACTAAAGTTGATTTTTTGAGGTCAAACATATAGGTCCAGATCAAAGGGGTCAGAAATCATATCAAATAACATGTTAAATATGCAAGCATTATCTCTTCTCAATCAGAAGTTATAAGGGGAAAATTGCATATTTGAAAAGTATGTCAAACGTCAAGGTTCAAGGTCACAAGGTCAAAATCCATAGTGTATTTAGAAATGATAATATACATATGAAATGTGGAAGCTCTTTACAGTGTATTTTCTATTGTCACAAACCACGACTAAAATGTACAATCCTATCACATACTAGTAAGCGGACGCCAAACCGTGGCTTGTGACTTTTTATCTTTTCTCATTCAAAAGTTATGACCAAGGTTCAAGTTTTTGAAATGTATTTCGAACTTCAAGATCAAGGTCATGAGGTAAAAAATTATTAGGTGCCGCCAGGAGGCGGTCGGTTACTCGATATGAAAGTTTGAAGTCGCCGTGCGTTTCTGCGGACTTAGAACAATTTAAATAAAAATATTTAATATTTATATTACATAGAATATAAAAAAACATATTTTAAATGTTTAACAAAAAGCACAATAATACTAAAATCAAAATTTTATAAATGATGGGTGTAAATGTTTCATCCTATCCTGATTGACAAACTCTAAAATGACAGATAATTGAAAGAGAAGAAATGTAGTGGTGGATCTAGGGGGAGGGTGTTAACATTCTCTAAGAGAGAGCGAGGAGCCCCACATATTTTATATTTGTTGCGAAAACTACTATAACATTAAACTTTTACCAGAGTTCGTTTACAAGTACCAAACTGAGTGCAGATACGCAGAAGTCTATGGACAGTTTGCTTATACAAATACAGTTTATTGTATATGCATTATGCATGAAGAAAATCGGCAGTGTCGCATGCACGTGTTTTATGTCACGAGGATATTTAAATAGATAAATGTAAGAAATTTTAAAAACAGATCACGCAAATTTCAGTTTCTTATTACTATATCAAAGGAACAATTAATTGAGTTTGCGGCCGATTTTTGACGCTTGCGAAAATATATAGGTTTCTTGTAGTGTATTTAGAAAGGTCTTGTCACAGTTCAAATACATGAATAATATAAAATTCTATCTCTTCTCTGTTCTAATTCTAAAGAGATGACCAAAGTTGAATTTTTGTGACATACGAACAGATTTACAGTCTGACTGACAAACAGACAGACGAATAAGATTTAAAGAAACCTCGATCGCTTTCGCAAAAGCGGGGCAAATCAAATGTTTTACACCAGAGAGAGAGAGAGAGAGAGAGAGAGAGAGAGAGAGAGAGCTTTAAAATTCACAAAAAATTCGGACAACCTTTAACACACATTAGGAAAGATCTACATGTTTAACTAAATGTCGTTCAAATGAATTTTAAATTAAGTTCCCCCCTGCTTTTTCTTTTCAGAATTTATCATATGCTGCTGTCATATCTGTGACTTATATTCTTCTAGTTTTTTTAGTTATTCAGAATATTAGTTTCACTTACATATCGGAATAGTTTAAGATTTACATCGCTCCCATTTAATACTAGTTCATTACCAATTCTCCGCATCATATCAAATGTATTCGTATGAAGAACTTAAAATACAGTTTTCAGTTTCCTTACATAAT